GTCTTCCTTTTGTGGAGTTGTATGAGCATTTATATGTATTGGAAATTAACCCCTTATCTGATATATCATTGGCAATTATGCTCTCCCATACAGTGGGTAACCTTTCCATTTTGATGATTGTATCTTTCGCTGTGCAGAAGCTTTTGAGTTTGATGTAGTCCCATGTGTTCATTTTCTCCTTTATTTCTGTTGCCTTAGATGATGTATCAGTGAAATTCTGCTGCATATGATGTCTGAAATTTTGTTGCCTACAGTTTTTTCTAGGATTTTTATGGATTCATGAGTCACATTTAAGTCTTTTATCCATTTTGAGTTTATTCTTGTGCAGGGTGTAAGTTGATGGTCTAGTTTCATTTTTCTGCATGTAGCTGTCCAATTTTCCCAGCACCATTTATTAAAGGGGCTGTCCTTACTCCACTGTATGCTGTTGCCACCTTTGTCAAATATTAATTGAGCATATTGCCTTGGGTCCATTTCTGGGTTCTCTGTTCTGTTCCACTGATCTATATGCCTGTTCTTGTGCCAGTACCAGGCTGTTTTGATTACAGTGGCTTTGTAGTATAACCTGAAATCTGGTAATGTGATCCCTCCAACTTTGTTCTTCCTTTTCAAGATTGCTGTGTCTATTCGAGGTCTTTTTCGGTTCCATATGAACTTTTGAAATACTTGTTCTAATTCTGTGAAGTATGCTGTTGGTATTTTGATGGGAATTGCATTGAATCTATAAATGCTTTGGGTAATACGGACATTTTAATGATGTTAATTTTTCCAATCCATGAACAGGGTATATGCTTCCACTTTTTTATATCTTCCTCTATTTCTTTTTTCAATGACCTGTAGTTTTCTGCGAATAGGCCCTTTATTTCTTTGGTTAAGTTTATTCCTAGGTATCTTAATTTTTTTGTGGCAATGGTAAATGGGATTGTTTTCTTAGTTTTTCTTTCTTTGAGTTCATCCTTGGTGTATAAGAATGCCATCGATTTCTTGACGTTAATTTTGTATCTTGCTTCTTTGCCAAATTCATTTATTAAGTCTAGTAAATTTTTGATGGAGTCTTTGGGGTTTCTACGTATAGTATCATGTCATCTGCAAATAATGACAGTTTCACCAATTTGGATCCCTTTTATTTTTTCTTCCTGTCTGATTGCTGTGGCTAAGACTGCCAGTACTATGTTAAATAAGAGTGGCGAAAGTGGGCATCCTTGCCTTGTTCCTGTTCTTAAGGGAAATACTTTTAGTTTTTGCCCATTGAGTATGATGTTGGCTGTAGGTCTTTCATATATGGCCTTTATTATGTCTAGATATGATCCTTCTATTCCCACATTGCTGAGCGTTTTTATCAGAAATGGATGCTGGATTTTGTCAAAGGCTTTTTCGGCATCTATTGATACGATCAGTGGTTTTTATTCTTCATTTTATTTATGTGGTGTATCGCGTTTATTGATTTGCGAATATTGTACCAGCCTTGCATCCCTGGGATGAATCCCACTTGGTCATGGTGGATAATTTTTTTGGTGTATTGCTGAAGCCGATGTGCTAGTATTTTGTTCAGGATTTTGGCGTCTATGTTCATCAGGGATATTGGCCTGTAGTTTTCTTTCTTTGTAGTGTCTTTTTCTGGTTTTGGAATTAGAATTGTGCTGGCTTCATAAAAGGAGATTGGAAGTCTTCCTTCTTCTTGAATTTTTTGAAATAGTTTGAGGAGAATGGGTGTTAATTCTTCTTTGAATGTTTGGTAAAACTCCCCCGTGAAGCCATCCGGGCCTGGGCTTTTGTTTGCTGGGAGAGTCTTGATTATATCTTCAATTTCTTCTGTTGATATTGGTCTGTTCAAGTTTTCCATCTCTTCCTGGTCCAGTTTTGGGAGACTATGTGTTTCTAGAAATATGTCCATTTCTCTTAGATTGTAGAATTTGTTGCCATATAATTGTTCATAGGTTGTTAACGATCTTTTGTATTTCCGTGATGTTGGTTGTTACTTCTCCTCTTTCATTTCTGATTTTGTGTATTTGGGTTCTCTCTCTTTGTTTCCTGGTGAGTCTAGCTAAGGGTCCATCAATCTTGTTTATCTTTTAGAAAAACCAGCTCTTTGTTTCATTGATCCTTTGAATTGTTTTTTTGGTCTCTATGCCGTTTATTTCTGCTCTGATCTTTACTATTTCCTTCCTTCTACTTGCTCTGGGGTTTTCTTTTTGTTTGCTCTCTAGTTCTTAAAGTTGTGAGGTTAGACAGTCTATTAGAGATTTTTCTTGTTTTTTTTTGTGGTAGGCCTGTAGTGCTTTGAATTTCCCTCTCAGAACTGCTTTCGCTGCATCCCATAGATTTTGTATTGTTGTGTCTTCATTTTCATTGGTTTCCATGAAGTTTTTGATTTCTTCCTTGATCTCCTCGGTGACCCATTCATTGTTTAATAACATGCTATTTAGCCTCCATGTGTTCAAATGACTTTGTATGTTCTTCTTGCAATTGATTACTAGTTTCATGCCATTGTGATCTGAGAAGATGCTTGATATGATTTCAGTCTTCTTGAACTTGTAGAGACTTAGTTTGTGCCCTAACATGTGGTCTATCTTTGAGAATGTCCCATGTGCACTTGAGAAGAATGTGAATTCTGTAGTTTTGGGGTATAATTCTCTGTAGATATCTATTAAATCCATTTGGTCTAGTGCTTCATTTAGAGTCTCTGTTTCCTTGCTAATCTTTTGTCTAGAGGATCTATCCAGTGATGTCAGCGGGGTGTTGAAGTCCCCTGCTATGATTGTATTGCTATCAATTTCTCCTTTGAAGTCCTCCAGAAGATTTTTAATGTATTTTGGTGCTCCTTTATTGGGTGCATATATGTTTATCAAGGTTATATCTTCCTGTTGGATAGATCCTTTCAATATTATGTAGTGGCCTCTTTGTCTCTAGTTATGGCCTTCATTTTGAAGTCTATTTTATCAGATATGAGTATTGCTACCTCAGCTTTTTTTTCCTTTCCGTTTGCCCCTTCACTTTCAATCTATGTGAGTCTTTTGTTGTGAGGTGGGTCTGTTGTAAACAACATATAGATGAGTCATGCTTTCTTATCCAATCAGCTACTCTGTGTCTTTTTATGGGAGCATTCAATCCATTTACCTTTAAGGTGATTATTGATATGTGCTTATTCATTGCCATTTTTGTTTAGTGTGGTTCTATTTTTCTTCCCATTTCTCCTGCTAATTATAGCAGTCCTTTTAACATTTCTTGCAGTGCTGGTTTGGTGCTAATGTATTCCCTTAGCCATTTTTTGTCTGGGAAGCTCTTTATTTGACCTTCCATTTTGAATGATAGCCTTGTTGGGTAGAGCAGTCTTGGATTCAGATCCTTGCTTTTCATGACCTTGATTACTTCATGCCTTTCCCTTCTGGCCTGTAGTGTTTCTGGTGAGAAGTCAGCTGAGAGCCTTATGGGATTTCCTTTGTAGGTAACCTGTTGCTTATCTCTTGCTGCTTTTAGGATTCTCTCTTTGTCTTTAATTTTTGGCAGTTTGATTACTATGTGTCTTGGTGTGAGGCCTGTTTGGGTTCTTCTTACTTGGGGCTCTCTGTGCTTCTTGAACTTGAATGCCTTCTTCCTTCACCAAATTAGGAAAGTTTTCTGTCACTATTTCTTTGAATATATTCTCTAACCCTTGCTCATTTTGTACTTCTTCGGGGATTCCTATGATGCGAATATTATTACGTTTCCTGTTGTCCCACAGTTCTCTTAAGCTGTCTTCCTGTTTTTTAATCGTTTTTTCCTTTTGGTTTTCTGATTGGTTGATTTTTTTCTACCCTGTCTTCTAATTCACTGATCCGGTTCTTAGCTTCCTCTACTCTGCTTTTTAGACCTTCCAATATGTTTTTCATTTCTGATATGTCGTTTTTCATTTCCAACTGGTTGATTTTCAACATTTCTATGTCTTTACTCATGGTGCTCATGTCCTTACACATACTGTTGAGCTTCCTCAAGATCATGGCTCTGAATTCTAGTTCTGTTAACTTGCTTAACTGCACCTCATTTATCTCATCTTCAGTAGAGGTCTGTTGTTCTTTCATTTGGTTTTTGTTTCTGTCTTTCACCATTTTGGCTATCACAGTGAGCTTTGGAGTCTGCCAAATTTTCCCTGTGGGTGTTGGTGTTCTGCTGTTTGTGGCTCCCTCTCCTGGGTTTGGATGAGGCAGGGAGGACCCACTTTCACCACAGCTGTCAAGTCTTAACTTTCCTGTAGTTCTTTTTGCCTGGAGGCTATTAGTAGAGATCTCCTGAAGACCCTTGGTTTCTGAGTTGCCTGAAAAACTCCCTCAGGTGCTCAGTGTAAGAGGATTTCCCGAGGTTGGGGCAGATGTTGGTTGGTAATGGGCCTGAATTAGCATAGCAAACTTTTTCTTAAAGGGCCAGATGGTAAATATTTTAGTCTTTGCAGACCAAGAGGCAAAAATCGAGGATATTATGTAGGTACTTATACAACCACTTTAAATTTAACCATTTCAAAATGAACATTTTTAGCTCACAGGCAGTTAAACACAGGCAGGCTGGATTTGGCCAGCCATAGTTTGCTGGCCCCGAGCTAAGACAACTTAAACTTTTTAATAATAAACAGACACAGGGATAGGAGTTCTACTACCATACGTCAACTTAAACTTTTTATTAATAAAAAGACACAGGGATATGAATTCTACTACCATACGTTAAGCTTCATAAGGGTAAGAATCATGATTTTATTGTTCACTGGTGTTTCCCAGGACCTAACATAGTACCTGGCAAGGTGCAAGCGCTCCGTAAATACTTGCTATTTGGTTTGGATTGAACATGATAATATAAACAGGCAACCCTGGGGAGTGGTGAGCCGTTAAGTTTTTAGTCCCTCTAATGTAGATTGAAGGCATTGTGTTGTTCCTGTGTTTATTTATAGCTACTACTAGAATGAAAAACTTACAATGTCTCCTTTGCTGAATTTTCTGGTTCATCTTCTTTGTTTCGCCCATGTTTTTCCTCAGGTGGTCGAACATGTCATCATCGTCATCAAGCAGACCCACGTCCCAGAGCCAGATAGCTAAAGGGGTCGATTTTTATTCAGATGAGGTAATAAAGTAATATTGTTAAATCTTAATTTTTAACTGCTTATAAAATTTAAACAGGGACTGCTGGTAGTTGCTGGAAATTATTTTTAAAATAGTTTCATTGATAACCTTTCTTTGAAGTATAGTTAGCTGAGTCAATGAGTAGCATCTTTTGAGAGCTCATCAGTGTAACTGTGTCAGATGTGAAGTCCTGCATATTTTAAAAATACCATATTCACTCAACTCTTTCTTAGTGTGCCCAGTTAACAATGGGTCAGAATAGGTATTTTTTTGCTCCTGTCGTCTATGTTTAGAGAAATAATGGCGATGATATCCTGAAAGCTTTTAATGTTACTTTAATAGAATATATATTAAGTACCCACTGTATGCTGCACACATTTTACATAAGAGATGGTGCATGGTAGTGATTTTCTTGTCACAGGTGTTCAGATAGTGACTGAAATGCAAGATGTCATGAAAGAAACTCCACTTCAAGACAGTTATCTGGACCAGAAAAATATAAAATCTCACCTAATTGAAATGAGGAAGAATAGGAAGAGGCAGAATCAGGACTTGTTTCTTGCCTTTATTCATTAGTTTCAGCCGAGTAGAATCGAAGCTGCATCGCAGAAGGAGGCTGGCCTTTCCCTCTCCTCCACGGCTGCCAGGAGTGGGCTTTGCTGGTTTCTGTTGACTTGTTTGAAGGTGCTTCTCTTAAGCCAAGACTCCTTTCTTTTGTTTATTTATTTATTAAATATGTTTTTATTAATTTTTTTAAAGAGACAGAAGGGAGAGAGAGAGAGAGAAACATCATGTGAGAGAAACATCCATTGGCTGCCTCCTGCACGCCCCCTACTGGGATCGAGCCCTGGGCGTGTGCCCTGACCTGGAATTGAACCGGGACCTCTCAGTCCACGGGATGATGCTCAATCCACTGAGCCACACCGGCTGGGCTCAGTTATTTATTTTAATTAAAAATTTTTTTAATTGTGGTAAAAACACTTTTAACTAAAGCTTTACCATCTTAACCATTTTTAAGAGTACAGCTCACTAGTGTTAAGTACATTCACATTGTTGTGTGACAGATCTCCAGAACTTGGTGATCTTCTGAAACTGAAAATCTCTGCCCATGGCAAAACTCCTGGTTCCTCTCCCCCCAGCACTCTACTTTCAGTCTCTGTGACTTTGACTACTCTGTAGATGCTTCGATGAGTGGAACCACACAGGATTTGTCATCTTTGTGACTGGCTCATTTGAGCATACTGTCCTCCAGGTTCAGTGCTGTTGTAGCACGTGACTCACTCCTTTTATTTCGAGCTTCAGCTGCTGCTATCATATTCCCTGTATCCTGGCCGTGGTTTAGAACCTATTGGAGGAGAAGACTCACCAAATTCAGGCTGCAGAGAATAATTGCAGCTTGAACTCAGTCTGCCAATTAAATCCTAACATGTTGCCCCAGGAGGCAAGTGAGAGGTTGTTGACTGGCTTGTTCATTTCAAAGCATCTAGAGCAGTGGTTCTCAACCTTCCTAATGCCATCACCCTTTAATACGTTTCCTCATGTTGTGGTGACCCCCAACCGTAAAATTATTTTTGTTGCTACTTCATAACTGTAATTTTGCTACTGTTATGTCTTTTTTTTTTTTTTTTTTTATCCTCACTCGACATTTTTCCATTTTTTGTTCAGATAGAGTGGGAGGGAGAGAGAGAGAAACATCGGCATGAAAGGGACACATCGAGTGGCTGCCACCTGCACAACCCAATCAGGGCCGGGGACAAACTGCAACTGAGGTACATGCCCTTAGTGGAGACCGAACCCAGGTCTCTCTGACCACAGGCCAGTGCTTTAACCGCTGAGCCAAACCGGCCAGGGCTCTACTGTTACGTCTTAGGCAAACCCGATGAAAGGGTCGTTCGACCCCCAAAGGGGTCGCAACCTACAGGTTGAGGACCGCTGGTCTAGAGGTACCTGTGGTTATATGTTACAGTTTTCAAATGTTTCTAGTTTCCAGTTCATGTTAGCTGCAAAGGAAAATTATAAGTAAATACTCTGTTGAACTTCTGTTTGACTTTATCTCTGATTTATTAATAAGTTCTATGTCTGATACTAACAGGAAATGAATCAGTAAATGAAAGTGAGTTTTTATTTCTCAAGGCATCTGGTTCTCACCAGAGATAGCTAACTTAGCTAACATTGGAATATGTTAATACCACCAACAAAACCTAACGTCAAATAATTATTCCTTTTTCTTTATGCCTTAAAAGAAACAAAATATTTGCAAAAAACACACTTTTTCTTCTGAATATTTAGTTGTAGAATAGTAAGAATCAGTGTTATCCTTCATCAAATTATGTTGTTTTTCATGTCTGAGGTTCATTAGTTTTCATTCTCTTTAATTGAATTCTGAGTTAATCTCTGATATTCCTATGTGTTCTTATAAGGCATGTAATCTACGGCCCAGTAGTATGGGAACTCTTTGAAAGTGAAATATTCCATCTATTTCTTTTTCCAAAAAAATACTTGAATGATTGCTTTGCTAGGTTTTTTTTCTTGCATCAGTCCAAGAGTAGCTGTTTATTTCTAGCACTAAAAATGAGTAATGAGAAATGAGAATTACAGCTATTCCTGATTAGGTGATGTGGTTTCATTATATTTTTGGCTGAATTTTCAGAACATTGGTTACTCCAATAATAAAATGTAAATGAATAATACCTATTCAAAATCCAAATGAAAATGACTTTAAGAGTATTTATTTTTCTGGCTTGCTCACACTTTATTTGCCTTTATTAAGGTCAATGGCTAAGAAAAATGTATATGGTCAATATTGTATGCACATATACCAGCATAAATTTTTATTCTTAATGCTTGCTAAGAATTTAATTGGACGTATTTATTTCAGCAGTGAAACAGCTAGTAAGGAAGGGAGGAAGAGAAAACATAAATTGGCAAACTTCATATTTATAAAGGAAACAGAAAAATGAAAGTCTGCCTCTTGTGAAAGGAGAAATTACTCTTACTGGTATTGTTTCGCCCCTAAGAACGTCTGTCTTGTCGCAGTGAAGTGTGGAACCATCTCTAAAGTAACATGTGTATGTCATTTCAGGACGACGATGATGATCCTTTTCTGAACATGAGTACTTTAAGAAGAAACAGAAGATAAAATATTTAATGGCACTTTGGAGTTTTCAAGATTCAGGAAAAGTCAAAACGTTGCAAGCTAAGAGTTTACAGTTGAAGATTTTTAAACTATTGCTGTTAACTGAAGAATCTGAAAGAGACTTAACAGAGAAACTAATGTATGAGAATTTCAATTTTTAGTATCATTTCCTGAACATGGCTCTATTACTTGAGGAACTTCCCAGCTCAAGGACATAGAACATAGCCTTGGTTTCCCTCATTTTTTAACCCGGTTGTTAACATTACCGAGGGATGCTCTATACAATTTAGACTGTTATTTTCCTGACATATATTAGTATATTTCTTAGTGAGAGCTTTGCTTAAATATTTATCTTGAATAAGGATTAAAATAAATATGCAAGTATATATTTCTGCTTCACAAAGACTATGTCAGTATTTTAATGCAGTTACATTTAGCCACAGTTGAGAAAAAGAGCTTATAAAATTTAACCTCTTTAAACTTGAGTAATTTCTAGAGATTCTCAATTTCGTGAAGGTAAAACAATCTATATGAAACTGTGCCTGAGCTTGCTGTTTGTTACTGAGAATGTTTGTTCTCTTGTCATGCTTGTGATGGTATTGGCCACGGAGACTTTGAATGATTAAGATGTACCTTATGCCCTGGCCAGTTTGGCTCAACGGTTTGAGCATCGGCCTGCGGACCAGAGAGACCCGGGTTCGGTTCCCGCCGAGGGCACGTACCTCAGTTGCAGTTTGTCCCCGGCCCTGGTTGGGGTTGTGTGAGTCGATGAGTCTCTCTCACATCTATGTCTCTCTCTCTTTCTTCCTCCCTCTCTCCCGACCGCTCTATCCGGAGATAAATGCAAAAGTGTTCTCGGATAAGGATAAAATAAATAAATGAATAAATGGGGGTGTTCTTGAAACTGGAAAAGATAGTAGAAAGGTCACACAAATCAAAGGGTCTCAGTTTTAATAAAATTTTTTTAAAAAGATGTACCTTCACAGTTATTGCCTTTTTTATTTTAGTTGTAGTAAAGATTTCAGAAGATTATGTTCCCATTGAGTGGTAGTCATTTTCTCCACTATTCTCCATTCTTCATGGTTCTTCCTCTTTCTGTAGTTCTCTGATCTGTTTCTGGGAGGAAAGAAACTGTGAAAAGGCCCCTGAGAGTAGCCTTCTGCTCACCTGTGAGGCAGCGCTAGTTAAAGACTCTGTGGAAGGTGTAGGTCCCGGCAGCACCCCAGCCTGCACTTCTTCCCAGGCAGCAACCAGCACTTACAGCATGTTCACGTTTATTGGCATAGTCAAACCTGCACGTGTCAGATTATAAAAGAACATTTTCATAGTGACTGCCTTTCTGTTACGCCTCTGAAATGACCTAAATCAAGAATTGTGATGTAACATTCTAATGAGTTTCTTGAAAAATATTTTTTATACCTAACCTGAGCACGAGGATTATTTTAGCAGGCAGCATTAGGTCAATGGAAGGCATTGTCCTGTGAGCGTCTCAGGCACTCTGCCCACATCCTTAATGTTCGCAGTGTTTGAATGAAGCCGAGGTGGAATGGGGCACTGCAGACCCCTGCACAGGGTGGCACCTGCTACCGCTCCTCTCACCCGCCACTGAGACGGTGCTGGGGTGAGGGCCGGAGGGGAGGTGGCCACCGCAGCCTCCTGCCAGGGCCCTGGGGGAAGAGGCTTCCCCCTTCTAAAAATGCGCTCCCAGCATGAGAGGTACCGCATGCGATGCAGTTAGCTCCGAGGAAGAGATCCCACCGCTGAGGGTTGCAATTCCCTTGAACTCGTCATTTTGTCACTAGTGTGTCACTTTCTGGAAATACAGTAAATAAAACATGAAAGGAAAACTATTTTGATTGAATATTGTTGCATAGCTAAATATGCCACATGTCCGTGGTGTTCTGTATCGCTACAGTACAAGCTAGGGGCTCAGGGTCAGTTCAGACATGTCCGTGCAGGTGTGTGGAGGTGACTCACCTGATCGTGGAGCCCCTGCGATTGCTCTTGGAGGCTGAGGGAAGAAGTCCTCCCATCATTCGGCAGCGAACGTATCTTTCTAGTGTTGTGTTCCCTATCATACAAATATACTAGTGCATTTACAAGGGTATGGATGCATTGTAGTTTTAGGAAATATAACTGGTGCTTAGAAAATTTAAGCACGTAGGTATGTAACTTTTCATTCAGGTAAGTGCACATTTTCTAAACTTTTAAAATTGCAAAATACAATACCAGGAAAGTCATGTGGTTTAACATACCTATGAAGTGAGCACTCCAGCTCAGGAAACATGCTAAGTGAGTTCTCCTCAGTTAAGCGAGGAACCACCGTAACTGCTGTAATTCGGAAGCTCATTTTGCCACAAGGTGGTGCTTCCACCATTAGATGGCAACTAGGACAATGCAGTTGCAAATCTGAAACTAAGAAGTTAGTGTAGTTTTGCAGTAAATTTGAAATTTGTAATAATACTCTTCCTATGCAGTAATACCAGAATCAGCCTTCTATTCCTGTATGTACATCGCTTTACCCATTTCACCTGGCTCAGCCTGTTACTAAGGGAATTGCCTGTTGGAGAAGTTTTACATATCAAATAGGTTCAAGATGAAAATGTTTTGTTTTAATAAACAAAGAGAAAAACCCTTTATGAGAAAAGTTGAATGAAAAAAATCTCATTGTAAATTTTTTTCTGTTGAAATGTGCTATATTTTAAAATATCTTTTTTTTGTATCTAGCATATATTTAATTCATGGCATTTTGTGATATTTTTTAAAGCTAACTATACCATTAAGATTCTTTTAAAGTTTTATATAATAAAGATGTGTTTTTTTGAGTCCAGAGAGCTTCTGAGTTCTTGAATGAAAAATGTCTAAATTTCATCATTTGTGTATCTCATTCCCTTTTAAGATGTATAAACTTTTTTTTTTTTTAATCCTCACCTGAGGATATTTTTCCACTGATTTTCAGACAGAGTGGGAGGAAGGGAGGGAGGGAGAGAAACATCGATGTGAGAGAGACACATTGATTGGTTGCCTTCCACACGACCCCGACCAGGGCCGGGGATTGAACTTCAACCAAGGTATGTGCCCTTGACAGGAATTGAACCCAAGACTCTTTGGTCCACAGGCTGATGTTCTAACTGCTGAGCCAAACTGACCAGGGCCCTTTTAATATTTTTGAAGTTAATGTTTATTAGCTTGATCTGAAAATGCTAGAATTTTAATCTGATCTCTGAAAGCCAGTTCACAACTTGCTGTTGCCATGCACGTTGTGTGTCTTGACCATGACTGATCACTGAATCTGACTTTAGTTGCTTTTAAATTGTAAGGGAGATACATAGTCTTCACTACCCAGACATTGAAACATGTATCGAGACGTGGATATTTCCCTGTAATCCTCTCTCCCCAGACATAACCTCTCCACAATTAGGTACATAATTCTCCAATTACTTTTGGCATGACTATTAACAGAAATTGTTGAATTAGAATCCCAAATTGTATAGTCAGATATTTTAGCCCCCATATCAAGCCATTTACGTTCACCTTGATACTTATCTTGACATTCTGATTTTTCCACATCTGTTTTGAATTAAATCATCACTGTCTGTGTTAAGGGGTAACTGCACTGCTTTCCGGAATGTAATGTCAATGTTATCTCTCAATTTGGGTCAAATAGAATATTCCATCTGTGGGCCTTGACGTCAGAAGTGGTGAGTGATTTCAAAGGGCTCGTAGCCCTTGACTGCATGTAACCATTGATGGGCGGAGACAGGTGCAGTGGCTGTTAGGCGGGTCGGCCCAGGCCCCACTCTTCTGCTCCCAGAGCCACCGCACCCTGGGGGTTATGTGCTGGTGCCCAGCACCAAGCAGGGAGTACCCTTGTCACACTGGCCTGTCGCAAGAGTTTTGTTCATGATATTTTTAAAAATCAGCTTTTTGCCCTAGCCGGTTTGGCTCAGCAGTTAGAGCATCAGCCTGCGGTCCGGAGAGACCCGGTTTCGGTTCCCGCTAAGGGCACGTACCTCGGTTGCAGTTTGTCCCCGGCCCTGGTTGGTTGTGTGGGTGGCAGCCACTCGATGTGTCCCTTTCACGTCGATGTTTCTCTCTCTCTCTTCCTCTCTCTCCCTCCCACTCTATCTGTACAAAAAATGGAAAAATGTCCTCGGGTGAGGATAAAAAATAAATAAATAAATAAAAATCAGCTTTTTCTCTACGAGAAGCTGATAACGTGTAACTCCAGTCTGCATTCGAACTGATTGTGGAGGAGTGTTTGGACTTGGACCAAATTGCTAGAGGCAAAAAAACCGTTCTCAGCTGCCTTTCTGTTGGTCCTATGTAGTCTGGAAATGGGGTCATGAAGTGAAGGCATCCAATTACGTTCCTTAAAATGTCTTACATAGCCTGGCCGGTGTTGCTCTGTGGTTGAGCGTCGACCAAGAGGTCACCAGTTCAATTCCCAGTCAGGACACATGTCCAGGTTGTGGGCCCAGTCCCCAGTGGGGGACATGCAGGAGACGGCCAATCAGTGTTCTCTCTCATTGATGTTTTTCTCCCTCACCCCTTCTCTCTCTAAAATCAATAAAGAAAAAAAAATTTTTTAATGTCTTTCCATAAACATTGAAATCAGTCCATTTATGCATCCATCACAGACATATCTGAAAGACTACAGGGCTTATCATCCCATTTTTGATCTCCAAGTTTTATAGTAGTGCTTTAAGACAAGATCTTGTTTTCTAAACTTTTAAATACTATTGAATTTATGGAAAATTTGCAAGAATAATAGAGAAGTGTTTGCCTTTTACTGGAATTTAGCAATTTTTAACATTTTGTCATTTAAAAAATTCAATTTTGTACCTGAAATGTTATCTGCCTCCTTTACTTGGCTTAATGTTCTTTTGCCCATTTGTGACGTAGCCCAGTCAAGGAGGGTAGTACTGTTTCTTGTGCCCCCACCTCACACCCACCTTCCCTTTCTCCAACCTATTTTAAGTGTATGCTCTTTTTCCCTCCTCTGTTGAGATACTGCCTACAGTACACCCAGTCCAAGTTTCCTTCCAGTTCTGATTCTCACTACCCAGCCCTCTGTGCCTCACCCACTCCTTTCCTTCTGTCCTCACGTCCAGCTCCTGACATAGCCATCTCTGTATTCCGCAGGGGCGGGTGTCCCTTCCCATCAAATGCAACTGATGCTGTGAAGGGAATGAGGAATGGAGGCAAGTGAAGGAGAGAACTGTTTATTGAATTGCTATTCCGTTGCAGGCTAAGGTATATATATAACCATGATGTAATTGTCA